AAGGAGTTGACCATAGTTGGGATCATCAGTTCAATGTGAATAATCTTTTCCTTAGATGCATAGTATATGATTTGTCAGGGCTACATACAGTTTTGAATTCAGAATTTTCCTTCTCATAGACTGGTTGCCACCCAAGGCTACAGAACCCAGTCTGTTAAGGAGTTGACCATAGTTGGGATCATCAGTTCAATGTGAATAATCTTTTCCTTAAGATGCATAGTATATGATTTGTTAGGGCTACATACAGTTTTGAATTTAGAATTTTCCTTCTCATAGACTGGTTGCCACCCAAGGCTACAGAACCTGGTCTGTTAAGGAGTTGACCATAGTTGGGATCATCAGTTCAATGTGAATAATCTTTTCCTTAGATGCATTCTATATGATTTGTTAGGGCTACATACAGTTTTGAATTTAGAATTTTCCTTCTCATAGACTGGTTGCCACCCAAGACTACAGAACCCAGTCTGTTAAGGAGTTGACCATAGTTGGGATCATCAGTTCAATGTGAATAATCTTTTCCTTAGATGCATAGTATATGATTTGTCAGGGCTACATACAGTTTTGAATTCAGAATTTTCCTTCTTATAGACTGGTTGCCACCCAAGGCTACAGAACCCAGTCTGTTAAGGAGTTGACCATAGTTGGGATCATCAGTTCAATGTAAATAATCTTTTTTTGCATAGTATAGTTTTGATTTTCAGGGCTACACCTGGTCTGTTAAATTACAATTTTCATAGTATATTTGACCATTTGCATTCTATATGATTTGGGCTACATACAGTTTTGAATTCAGAATTTTCCTTCTCATAGACTGGTTGCCACCCAAGGCTAAGAACCCAGTCTGTTAAGAACCCATCAGTTCAATGTGAATAATCTTTTCCTTAGATCTGTTAAGGATACAGTTTTTGAATTGACTTCATAGACTGGTTGGGATCATCAGTTCAATAGTTGGAATCAAGTTCAATGTGAATAATTTTCCTTAGATGCATAGTATATGATTTGTCAGGGTTACATACAGTTTTGAATTCAGAATTTTCCTTCTTATAGACTGGTTGCCACCCAAGGCTACAGAACCCGGTCTGTTAAGGAGTTGACCATAGTTGGGATCATCAGTTCAATGTGAATAATCTTTTCCTTAGATGCATTCTATATGAGAAAGGGCTACATACAGTTTTGAATTTAGAATTTTCCTTCTCATAGACTGGGTTGCCACCCAAGGCTACAGAACCCAGTCTGTTAAGGAGTTGACCATAGTTGGGATCAGTTCAATGAATAATCCTTTCAATGTGACTCTAATCAGTTTTGAGAATTTTTTAGATGCATAGTGAATTTAGAATAAATCTTCTATGATTTGCCACCCGGACTACAGAACCCAGTCTGTTAAGGAGTTGACCATAGTTGGGATCATCAGTTTTGAATCTTTTCCTTAGATGCATAGTATATGATTTTCAGGGCTACATACAGTTTTGAATTCAGAATTTTCCTTCTCATAGACTGGTTGCCACCCAAGGTTACAGAACCCAGTCTGTTAAGGAGTTGACCATAGTTGGGATCATCAGTTCAATGTGAATAATCTTTTCCTTAGATGCATAGTATATGATTTGTCAGGGCTACATACAGTTTTGAATTCAGAATTTTCCTTCTCATAGACTATATGGTTGCCACCCAAGGCTACAGAACCCAGTCTGTTAAGGAGTTGACCATAGTTGGGATCATCAGTTCAATGTGAATAATCTTTTCCTTAGATGCATAGTATATGATTTGTCAGGCTACATACAGTTTTGAATTCAGAATTTTCCTTCTCATAGACTGGTTTTGCCACCCAAGGCTACAGAACCCAGTCTGTTAAGGAGTTGACCATAGTTGGGATCATCAGTTCAATGTGAATAATCTTTTCCTTAGATGCATAGTTTATGATTTGTCAGGGCTACATACAGTTTTGAATTCAGAATTTTTCCTTCTCATAGACTGGTTGCCACCCAAGGCTACAGAACCCAGTCTGTTAAGGAGTTGACCATAGTTGGGATCATCAGTTCAATGTGAATAATCTTTTCTTAGATGCATAGTATATGATTTGTCAGGGCTACATACAGTTTTGAATTCAGAATTTTTTCCTTCTCATAGACTGGTTGCCACCCAAGGCTACAGAACCCAGTCTGTTAAGGAGTTGACCATAGTTGGGATCATCAGTTCAATGTGAATAATCTTTTCCTTAGATGCATAGTATGTGCTTCGCCAGGATTATATACAGTTTTGAATTTAGAATTTTCCTTCTCATAGACTGGTTGCCACCCAAGGCTACAGAACCCGGTCTGTTAAGGAGTTGACCATAGTTGGGATCATCAGTTCAATGTGAATAATCTTTTCCTTAGATGCATTGTTGTTTGTTAGGGTTAGTTCAATACAGTTTTGAATTTAGAATTTTCCTTCTTATAGACTGGTTGCCACCCAAGACTACAGAACCCAGTCTGTTAAGGAGTTGACCATAGTTGGGATCATCAGTTCAATGTGAATAATCTTTTCCTTAGATGCATAGTATATCATTCGTCAGGGCTACATACAGTTTTGAATTCAGAATTTTCCTTCTTATAGACTGGTTGCCACCCAAGGTTACAGAACCCGGTCTGTTAAGGAGTTGACCATAGTTGGGATCATCAGTTCAATGTAAATAATCTTTTCCTTAAATGCATAGTATATGATTTGTCAGGGCTACATACAGTTTTGAATTCAGAATTTTCCTTCTTATAGACTGGTTGCCACCCAAGGCTACAGAACCCGGTCTGTTAAGGAGTTGACCATAGTTGGGATCATCAGTTCAATGTGAATAATCTTTTCGTTAGATGCATTCTATATGATTTGTTAGGGCTACATACAGTTTTGAATTTAGAATTTTCCTTCTCATAGACTGGTTGCCACCCAAGGCTACAGAACCCAGTCTGTTAAGGAGTTGACCATAGTTGGGATCATCAGTTCAATGTGAATAATCTTTTCCTTAGATGCATAGTTTATGATTTGTCAGGGCTACATACAGTTTTGAATTCAGAATTTTCCTTCTCATAGACTGGTTGCCACCCAAGGCTACAGAACCCAGTCTGTTAAGGAGTTGACCATAGTTGGGATCATCAGTTCAATGTGAATAATCTTTTCCTTAGATGCATAATATATGATTTGTCAGGGCTACATACAGTTTTGAATTCATAATTTTCCTTCTCATAGACTGGTTGCCACCCAAGGCTACAGAACCCAGTCTGTTAAGGAGTTGACCATAGTTGGGATCATCAGTTCAATGTGAATAATCTTTTCATAAGATGCATAGTATGTGCTTCGCCAGGATTACATACAGTTTTGAATTTAGAATTTTCCTTCTCATAGACTGGTTGCCACCCAAGGCTACAGAACCCGGTCTGTTAAGGAGTTGACCATAGTTGGGATCATCAGTTCAATGTGAATAATCTTTTCCTTAGATGCATTCTATATGATTTGTTAGGGCTACATACAGTTTTGAATTTAGAATTTTCCTTCTCATAGACTGGTTGCCACCCAAGACTACAGAACCCAGTCTGTTAAGGAGTTGACCATAGTTGGGATCATCAGTTCAATGTGAATAATCTTTTCCTTAGATGCATAGTATATGATTCGTCAGGGCTACATACAGTTTTGAATTCAGAATTTTCCTTCTTATAGACTGGTTGCCACCCAAGGTTACAGAACCCGGTCTGTTAAGGAGTTGACCATAGTTGGGATCATCAGTTCAATGTAAATAATCTTTTCCTTAAATGCATAGTATATGATTTGTCAGGGCTACATACAGTTTTGAATTCAGAATTTTCCTTCTCATAGACTGGTTGCCACCCAAGGTTACAGAACCCGGTCTGTTAAGGAGTTGACCATAGTTGGGATCATCAGTTCAATGTGAATAATCTTTTCCTCAGATGCATAGTATATGATTTTTCAGGGTTACATACAGTTTTGAATTCAGAATTTTCCTTCTTATAGACTGGTTGCCACCCAAGGCTACAGAACCCGGTCTGTTAAGGAGTTGACCATAGTTGGGATCATCAGTTCAATGTGAATAATCTTTTCCTTAGATGCATTCTATATGATTTGTTAGGGCTACATACAGTTTTGAATTTAGAATTTTCCTTCTCATAGACTGGTTGCCACCCAAGGCTACAGAACCCAGTCTGTTAAGGAGTTGACCATAGTTGGGATCATCAGTTCAATGTGAATAATCTTTTCCTTAGATGCATAGTTTATGATTTGTCAGGGCTACATACAGTTTTGAATTCATAATTTTCCTTCTCATAGACTGGTTGCCACCCAAGGCTACAGAACCCAGTCTGTTAAGGAGTTGACCATAGTTGGGATCATCAGTTCAATGTGAATAATCTTTTCCGTAGATGCATAGTATATGATTTGTCAGGGCTACATACAGTTTTGAATTCATAATTTTCCTTCTCATAGACTGGTTGCCACCCAAGGCTACAGAACCCAGTCTGTTAAGGAGTTGACCATAGTTGGGATCATCAGTTCAATGTGAATAATCTTTTCCTTAGATGCATAGTATGTGCTTCGCCAGGATTACATACAGTTTTGAATTCAGAGTTTTCCTTCTCCTAGATCGGTTGTTACCCAATGCTATAGAACCCAGTTTGTCTTACTATTCATAGTATTTGCTTTACCAGAATGACATAGAGAATTGAGTTCAGAGATTTCCTTCTCTCTGTTTTTATTCCAATAATATGGAACCAATGAGAAAAGACAGATTATTAGCAATACTCTACTGAAAAATAAACATTAAAAATATAATTTTATTAAATTTCTTCCAATTGTTTTTTTCAAGGTGATCAAAATTTTTAAGGTGGTCAAGAATTTATCCAATAAAGTTGTCCTATGTTACTTATTCATTTTTATTTATATATACTGAATACGTGTTTAAATATCTGCGTCAATATTCACCAGTCTCACACTCTTTTTCTGTTTCATTTTTTTCTCTGCAGGCATCAAAGTAGAACTTGTTGGTGGCTTCTCGGAACTCAATGGAAGAATTGAAATCACTCGTAATGGAATCAAAGGAACTGTCTGTGATGATGAATTTGATAACAATGATGCTACAGTTATTTGTAGAATGTTGGGACACAGGTAATTTTAAGTTTTTATATATTTTCTTTACATAAACAAAGGATTAGATTATACCTGCAATAATGTACCGATGATGAAAGCAGCCATGCTGATGACATAGGTATTCATAGTTGGGATAAGAATTAACCTGAACAGAAAATCAACATCCTCTAACAAATGTTCCAAGAAATTGGATTCAATATAAACCTTTCCCAAAAAAACTATGATTTAGAATTGAAAGTAAAACTGTGATGGCATCAACCCTGCATCCATCATAAAAATTTCAGAATGTTGAATTAGTAAAAACTAAACACTTGAAATACTTCAGCATATGAATCAGTTACAACAAATTAAGTAAATGAGAAAAAGAAGTTGAACATGGAATAGGTTATGCTCAAGGTACATTTGGCTATCACCACAAGTTGCTATGAAACCAAAAACAACAACACAAAAAGTTTTTTATCTCCTAGACCAGTTGCCACACAAGGCTATAGAATCCAGTTTGTCTTACTATTCATAATATTTGCTTTGCCAGGATTACATAGAGTTTTAAAGTAAGAGTTTTCCTTCTTCTAGACTGGTTGCCACACAAGGCCATAGAATCCAGTTTGTTTTACTATTCATAGTATTTGCTTTACCAGAGCTACATAGTTTTGAATTCAGAGTTTTCCTTCTCCTAGACCGGTTCCCACACAAGGCTACAGAATCCAGTTTGACTTGCTATTCATAATATTTGCTTTGCCAGGGCTACATAGAATATTGAATTCAGAGTTTTCCTTCCTCTAGCTAATGGAATCAATGATGAATTTGATAACAATAACGGTAAATTATTTGTAGAATGTTGGGGCAAAGGTAATTTTGAGTTTTTATACATTTCCTTTAGAGAAACAAGGAATTAGATTATGAATACAACAACTTATCCAACATTGTTTGAACAAACAAATCTCTTTTTCATATTGGGGCTAACTTAGAAGATAAGGAAATAAACACCTTCCTCTTAAGTCCACTTATTTATCTGCCTTTTGTAGGAATTTTGCCTACATGAGTAACATTAAGTGTCAGTGTTTTTAGGCTTCATGTCTCCAGTTCACCTTTGATCTGCAAAACATAAAATTTTTATCAAAGATTTTGGATTATCATAAAAGAACATTTGACTAACCGTGTGGCTTTGGAGTGAACAACAGATAACTGGAGAATGTTATCACAAAACTCATCACAATTTCACCACAAATTGTGTCACAAATTTGATTGATTATATTGAACGGCATTCTTAAAAATTTATAAGTGCACCATTCATCCAGGCATTGAATATTGCTGCCACATCTGGTCTGGTGCTCAGAAATTCTTCATAAAATACAAAGAAGAATCTGCTATGTTATCGGTCATGACTTGGCAGCTCTGCTTCAGTCACTTTCCCACTGCTGTAACATAGCTTCCCTGTGTCTTTACTATAAATACTTTCATGGTAATTGTTCTGATGAGCTTTCCTCTTCTGTACATTGACTTTATGAATTTAAGCTTAGTACAAAATTGGCAGCTATGTCTCATTATTTTACACTTGAAATGGCTTGATGAAACCGTAAGTTCTATGCTAACAGTTTCTTCTCTCACACTTCTCACTTGGGGAAATATTTTTCAGCCCCTTGCCTTCTTGTCTACTTCGATCTTCAAAAATTTAAATACAATGATATTTGTTATCATCTGTTTTCTAATTCCGGTTCTGTTATAGTTCTCTCTCCTTAATAATGTTTTTCTTTTTCTTGTATTCTTTCACCTTCAGCAAGCCCTTGAATGTTAGAGGCTTTATTGCCTTGCATGCAGTTAAATAATGAAAAAAACAGAGAAAAGATATGTTTACTATTGTTAACAAAATGTTTTGATTGATCCATTCTCCAGCCATCATCAGGTGTCATTCATGAGAATAAAAGAAACCTCTTTCACATGAAAACAATAAATTAGCCAGAAAAATAATTTGTGATTATACTCAATGCTCTGATTGATTAGAAAATGTTTCACTTGGCTTAGGTTGGAAAGAATAATTATATGATACTGGCCACTGAAATTTGAAGCAACATAGAAATAACACAAGAGGTAGTGAAGTGTAATGTCTTTAGATATGTTTTTGTTACAGTAGTCTCCCAATATTAGTGTGCAAACTAGACCGCAGCATCATCTGGAAAAAAAGAGCTAGCCTTTTGGGATTCACGCTACTAATTCTCCCAGTTTATATGCATGTGCAAAAGCTGAAAAAGGGTCACCACTGCTAACAGACTTATCAACGCTTAACATGTCTGAAAAAAGATGTATTGTCTGCTACAATAGTATAATATAAATGCAGTTTTTTTTCCTTACATTTTCTATTTTAAGGAACTAGTAACAATTTTGTGAAGAATTGTCTTACTATAAAATATTACATTGATATTGTAAGATTAACATTTCCTTTGGATGTTTTAGACTGTCTCAGTAACATGAAAATTATTTCCTATTGCTACATAGCAATTTGTATATAATTATTTGTACTAGTAGATAGATAGTATAAGTTAGATCAACTTTACTATCAAAAGCGTTTCAGAGATTTTTCACACTTTTAGAATTTAATAATTATTTTAAAATTTATATTTAAATTTTTTGAATGTTTTTAAAATGTTATCAGCCTAATTGAGTCAGGACAAGAAATTTGAACCCAGCACCTTTGCAACATTTTAAAATTTTTAAATAAATTTTCATTTCAGTTCTGGAGAAATAATTCCAAATATATTTGGATATGGGGAAGGCACCATCTGGCTGGATAATCTCAATTGTACTGGATCAGAATATGATCTTGAAGTTTGTCCCAACCTATCTTGGGGAACACATAACTGTACCCACAAGAATGATGTTGCCATTAAATGTTTCAAAGAACTTAATACAACCTTATTAACAACCACAAGTATACCTCCAGCTTCCTCAACAGAACCAACTGGTAAGTAAACTGTTTTTCTGATTATTTCAGGAGATGTTTAAAATGATATTCTCATCCTTCAAAGATTTATTTCAACTATTGTTGCTATTTTATTTGTAGTTGAAATGAAATATTAACTGATCTTGTTTTCAGCCTTCCTCAGATGTACAATCAATTTGAAAGGAAGAGGGATATTTTCTAAGTACTCTTTAGACATTTTCAATTTTTTAATTTATTCGGAGAGAGAAGTGATCATTTTATCCAGTGTTATATTCTCACCCTGCCAGGAGAGATAGCATGATCCCTTTCTGTCCTGTTGGCAGCACATTGAATGTGCAGACTGCATCTGCTGCAGTGGGGTAAAACTGCTGCTAAAAGGGGTTAACTTACAACTGAATACTGTCAGACCTGATTTAATGTATACATTTTTGACTCTTGCTCAAACCTGTCATGTATCTACCTCTGTTATAAACTCAACCTATGACGACCTATCCACTAATTCTTAATTTCAGTATCAGAAATCCAACAATAATAAAAAAAATATTTTGTAGTAAAGAAAACATTTCCAGAAAGATTACAAGAAAGTAAAAGACATTTTTTGCGTGTAGTGTAGAATGTGTGTATTTTCTTCATGTGTACTTTATAAATGTCTTTATGTGTCAGTCATGTTCTTTCATTCATGAGTGTGTGTTTAAAAGGGTACTTCTAGAATTTAGTAATAAACTTGAATCCAAATTGATGACAGTAAATCTAGATCAAACCATGGAGGAACCAAATAATATTATCATATCGTTGTTAACTGGAGCTTGATTAATTAATGTTTTCTTGTATGGAAACAGCTAATATTAATATTTCCCATAGAATTTTGTATTCCCTTGGACATTCTTTACATCAAATTGTTGCAAACAATTCATTTTTCCACATCTGTGGTTTCTTTTATCAAATGGGTCATTTTTGTTGCATTTGAGCAGAGATTCTCAGATGAAAATGTCCATGAGATTTTTTCGGTTAAGTTATAAGGCATTCAAACAGCAAAAGAATGTTCTTAGTTTTCCACATCAAAATTTCTACTTCTGAACACAGTGAACCACTTAAAAACAATATACTCAGCTATGGCACCATCTCCATAAATGGCACATATCTTTTATGCTATTTCTACAACATTGTTTTACTTTCAGGAAATAAATGAGCATCGAGTGATGAAAATGCATCTTATTTTCCTACATTTACACTTTAAACATAAAAACATTGAAAATTCACAATGCACAAAGTATATAGATAAGACACAGTAATTATCACCTTTAAGAATATACATATATATATTTCAATCATGTGTGAAATGAAATCACGTATTCAAGTGCCACTTGATGTAAATGCTGCAAATTCATGTTCAAAACTAATGTTTCTATTCCAGTAATAGGAAACCAACAAGAAGAGACAGATTGTTACCAGTATTGTACTTAAAAGATTAATATTAAAAATACAATTTTATTAAATTTCTTCACATTGTCTTTTTTAAGGTAATCCAGATTTTATCCAATAAAATCTTCCTTTATTTCATATTCATTTTTATTTATATATACTGAACACGTGTTTAAATATCTGCGTCAATATTCACCGGTCTCATACTCTTTTTCTCTTTCATTTTTTCTCTGCAGGTATCAAAGTAGAACTTGTTGGTGGCTCCTCAGAACTCAGTGGAAGAATTGAAATTACTCGTAATGGAATCAAAGGAACTGTCTGTGATGATGAATTTGATAACAATGATGCTACAGTTATTTGTAGAATGTTGGGGCACAGGTAATTTTGAATTTTTATATATTTTCTTTAGATAAACAAGGAATTAAATTAGGAATGCAACAATTTATGTTACCCACATTGTTTGCACAAACATATTTCTGTTCATATGTGGACTAAATATTTTGCTGATATGAAGTAGATTGATTATATTGATCATTTGTTAGAACTGCACTCTTAAAAATTTATAAGTGCACCATTCATCCAGGCATTGAATATTGCTGCCACATCTGGTCTGGTGCTGGTCATAAAATACAAAGAAGAATCTGCTATGTTATTGGTCATGACTTGGCATCTCTGCTTCAGTCACTTTCCCACTGCTGTAACATAGCTTCCCTGTGTCTTTACTATAAATACTTTCATGGTAATTGTTCTGATGAGCTTTCCTCTTCTGTACATTGACTTTATGAATTTAAGCTTAGTACAAAATTGGCAGCTATGTCTCATTATTTTACACTTGAAATGGCTCGATGAAACCGTAAGTTCTATGCTAACAGTTTCTTCTCTCACACTTCTCACTTGGGGAAATCTTTTCCGACACCTTGCTTTCTTGCCAACTTCGATCTTCAAAAATTTAAATACAATGACATTTGTTATCATCTGCTTTCCTAATTCCGGTTCTGTTATAGTTCTCTCTCCTTAATAATGTTTTTCTTTTTCTTGTATTCTTTCACCTTCAGCAAACCCTTGAATGTTAGAGGCTTTATTTATTGCCTTGCTTGACATTAAATAATGAAGAAAGAAACAAAGGAAAGATATGTTTACTATTGTTAACAAAATTGTTTTGATTATCCATTCTCCAGCCATCATCAGGTTTATTTGTTCAAAAGCTCAAATTTTCTCTTTGCACATCTCTATTCTCCAGCCATCATCAGGTGTCATTCATCAGAACAAAGCTCTTACAAAAAAAAAACAATAAATTCCCCAGCAAAAATTATTTGTGAATAATCCCAGTGATATGATTTATTTCTACAGAATTAGGTACATTAAGTAACCCTTCTATTAGAAAATGTTTCACAAGTTATATGAGACTTGATGCTGAAAAGTCGAAGCAACACAAAATGTACACAATATGTGGTAAACTTAAAAATTACTTATTCAAACACTGCGCTAGATTCGTCTTGATCCCAAAATTCCCTAGTAGGACCGGAAGTGATTACAATCATCATCATCATCATAATCATAATCAATATTATCAATATTGTTATAACAGAAAAGATAAAAAGTGGGCACTTACCTAACACTCCATTTAAAAGAAAATCCCATCATGTTGTATTTCATACTAACTTGGTTAATACTTTCTTCTCTTTATGTGCCATATTCTTTCAGGACATAGGCAATCATGGCTCTCCACTTCGCTCTATCTCTTGTAGCTCTCAATTAGTTTTGTCCCTCTTCTACCTCCCCCTGACCATGTTCTGTTATCCACTTGCTTAAGCCTGCTGGGTATGTCATGCATTGCTTTCCCTTGTCTTTCTTTCCCTCTATTTAACGTGTGAGTATCAGATTCTCCAGGCCCTCCTTTCTCATGGTGTCCCAGAAATTTCATCTGCCTCTTCCTTATGTTAAGTATAAGCTTCCTCCTTGTTTGCATCCTCTCCAAGACCTCATCATTGCTCACATTCTTGCTCCATGGTATCCTTAGCATAGATAGTATAAGTCAGATGAACTTTACTATCAAAAGCGTTTCAGAGATTTTTCACACTTTTAGAATTTAATAATTATTTAAAAATTTATATTTAAATTTTTTGAATGTTTTTAAAATGTTATCAGCCTAATTGAGTCAGGACAAGAAATTTGAACCCACCACCTTTGCAACATTTTAAAATTTTTTAAAATAAATTTTCATTTCAGTTCTGGAGAAATAATTCCAAATATATTTGGATATGGGGAAGGCACCATCTGGCTGGATAATCTCAATTGTACTGGATCAGAATATGATCTTGAAGTTTGTCCCAACCTTTCTTGGGGAAAGCATGACTGTACCTACAAGGAAGATGTTGCCATTAAATGTTTCAAAGAAGCAACTACAACCTTATCATCAACCACAAGTATACCTCCAACTTCCTCAACAGACCAAAATGGTATGTAACCTGTTTTTCTGATTCTTTAATTTAAGACTCATATTTAGACTATTGATGTTATTTTATATGTTCTTAGAATTATATATTGGCTGATCTAGTTTTCATCCTTCCTCACATGTACAATCTATTTGAAAAGAAGAAGGACGTTTTCAAATTACTGTTTACCAATTTTGAAATTTATTTGAAAAAGAAGTGATGATGTCATCCAGTATCATTCTCTTCTCCTGCCAGAAGAAATAGCATGATCCCTTATTACCCTGTTATCAGTGCTTTGAATATGCTTACTTCATCTCTTACCATTCCACAAAAGTGCCAACTAAAATAAAAAAGTAGTTAATTCTTTGAGAAATCAATACCTCTGGAAAATTGAAATTAATGAAACCAAACAATATAGACAATGTGTTAAAATGTGGAGCAAAGCAAAAAAACGCAACAATATCATGCACTCATGATGCAATTATATTTGTGTTGTAAACAAGTATGTTATGAATAGGGCCTGGTAGGTTTCCATGAGTATTTAAATGAGACCTAATTATATTAAAAACAACACTCACTAATATCAACTATGAACATGGACAGAATATCTTGGCCGTGTTTTGAAAATGAAACATTATATAAATACATACATACAACAATTTATTTCTTGTTAACAATTAATATATTTTAACCTTGAAAATGGCTGACTGTGTGGCCGAAAGCGCTCAAATAAAAAGAACAATTTGGCAGGTTTTATATGATTTCTCATCCGAAACGAAAAAGATTATTAGATCACATGAGAAATTGTATAAAAAACTAAATCAAAGCACCTTGTCTGTCAAATTCAATAAAAAAAAAAAAAAAAAAAAAAATATATATATATATATATATATATATATATATATATATATATTACTCCACTGTGCATCCTGAGACTTTATATATATATATATATATATATATATATATATATATATATATATATATATATATCCTGCATATATATATATATATATATATATATATATATATATATATATATATATATAGATGTATATATATATATATATATATATATATATATATATAGATATGCAGGAGACACGGTGGAGTAATGGATAGTGGCTCAGATTGAGAAATTGAGTTCAAATTCCAGTCAGATCCATTACATTCACTTACGTGCTAATATCCTTGAGAAAGGTTTGAATCCTCTTTTTCCTCCCCCCAGCTATGGTCTCGACTGGTTTCTATAGCCTTGTGTGGCAACCTATCTAGAAGAAGAAAACTCTGAATCCAAAAACTGGCTTGAAGAAGATTGGGCTTCATCAAGCTATCTTTTCCAAGAAATATCATTTCTACGGCAGCTGAAGTAGATATGGTGCCCTTATGACCTTCATGAGTCACAGGATTCGTGATTGTGATCAAAGCATTTTATTCATTTCCTATAAAGTTCATTATTTCATTTGTGACAAATGAATGGCAATGTATCCATATAGTAAAATGACCGGCAATATATTTTATTCTTTGGCGCAATGTATTTACAATAGCAAAAAGGGTTAGCACTACCGATATTTAGTAAAAAAAGATTTGAAATGCATTTTCAAAGGGAAATTATTCATAGTAGAAGTGTATTGCAAAGATTTATAAAGTCAAAGCCATTTAGAATTCCACTCCAGAAAACTTTCCATTGATTGATATAGAACATTGCTGAAAGAGAAGAAAATTATAAGTAGCTGTATATATAAGCTTTGTGAGAATTAGAGATTTCTTTTCATAACAGAAAAGTCATTTGATATCAAGTATATGTATATATATATATATGTCTGTGTCTGTGTATATATATATATATATATATATATATATATATATATATATATATATATTCCTTTTTGAATTTGTAGGTCTGATAAATTGGATTGTGATTACAAATTGGAATATTAGTGTTTGAGCCTTTTATATTATATATATATATATTATTTTAAGACATTTTTATGTTTATACATTCTTTTTATAGATACAAATATTTAACTAAATGCTCTATTTATAATAAACAGTATTAAACAACAAATACTGGCCTGAATGTCCGAGAAATTTTCACCTAAAATTCAGAGGATGAATATCTTCTGTGAAAATTTCTCAGACATTCAGGCCGGTAATTGTCAGACTTTGTCCATTTCATAATGTCTGATGTCATATATATATATAAGTAATGTAAGTAAATATATATATATATATATATATATATATATATATAAGTAATGAAAATTTTGTTAATAATGTATGATTAATCCCAAGGAGGATGAAATCCAGAGAACTGAATGTTAAATCAGAGTGATTAATTCAATGAAAAAGACAACTTTAAGGGTTCATTGGTTATAATTTCTTTCGCCAGGGAATTTGTTTTTTCCCTGGCTCATCAATATATATATTTATTAGAAAATTATAAAATAAATATGTTATAAAATCACTTCAAAAATAGCCATTTTGTTTCAACACTTCTGGTGTCTTATCAAGTGATGGTATTGAATAGTAGAATAAAGGGTTTTAAGAGGTTCAAATCAATCAAACATCCCTCGCTAGGGGAAATGCTGTTATGTAAACTACAATGACCAATCAAAATACGTACATGAGAATTCAAAAACTTGACAGTGTACCTTAATTATAATTATTAATGCCTTTGGGCACCTCGAGGCGGTGTAATGGTTAGCAAGCTTGTCTCACTAGGACAATTACAACTGAGTTTGATCATCACTGGGTGCCCAGTCCTTTCGACCTTGTGCCACATCTAAGCTACGCTTGGAAAATCATTATAATTATTAATGCCTAAATGTTAGGGTTAGATTAAAATAGAAATTATTGTAACTGATTAATATTAAATTTTACTATAAAATTGACAATTAAAAATTACCAAATTTAAATATTAAATTTAATCTGTATGAAGTTTTAAATTATTTAAAGAAGAAACTGTGAAAAAAATACATTCTTTATTTTGTTAGTTAGTTCCCCCATCACAACAACCTCTTATTTTGAAGTTGATGCCCACCACTCACAAATCCATTATTAATTCTTTGGCAATGAGTCTACTTCTGGCCTGCTGCCCTTCACCCTCAGCCCTTTTGTGTCATTGAGTTTGAGACCCCTTAGGAAATAAGCAGGCACTTTGATCAATTGGAAGAATGCTGTACCACAGTCATCCTACTTCGGCTCCCTTCCTCACATTTTGACTTGTGCCATACTAAGCTTAGTAAATATCAACAAGGAGGATTGGCGCTATACGGTCTTTCTACTATTTATTTCTCCTCCCTCATTTGACCTACTGGAGCTAAATTCAGTAAACATGGAAAAACACTTAATTTATTTATGCTTGTTTCATAGTATTGTGTTTTTGTTTCATAGTGACATGTGGCAGAAGGCCAATAAATCAAAGGTACCAACAATCTTTTGGTGGCCAAGTTGCCAAATATGGTGCTTTTCCATGGCAAGCAAGAATTTTGGAAGATATCTCCTTCGGAAAACTGCATCACTGTGGAGCTGCCATTATCAATAAATTTTGGCTACTCACTGCTGCCCATTGTTTAAAGTAAGTTTCATTAAAAAAAAAACAAAAAAAAGGTAAAACTTTGTTTCAAAATTGAATTTCAGATTTTTTACATGTTATTTTCCTTTTGCTTTCTTTCTTTTTAACAAGATTTGATTTTGCCCCGTGAAATGCAACTTTTAAAATTTGCCTTTTTTTAATATTATGTATTCTCTAAGAGTTTAATTTTATAGCAGATAACTTGAAAAAGATGTTATAATACTGTTTTTTTAAAAATTAATTTAACCGCAGTGTTTAAGCCAACTTAATTTTTTGTCTTTCTCAGGTCTTAGTCATATATTCATGAAATTTTCTAACAATGTATTTTGAAAAAGCAATTTCAAAGACCAATTATTCCTTTGAAATGTATTTTCTAATTTTCATCATATTTTTTATTAGAAATTTAACAGAAACACATGGGTTCTATTTTGTTTTTCTTTTAGGTTACAAATTGTTGAGTATATCTTTGAAATTATTGTAAACAAAAAGCAAAACATTGTCCAGTGTTCAGTGTTTGTGGTAATAAAATAAGTACATCCCATCTCTCCTCTTGCTTGTAACTATCCACTATAATAAAATAAACATTTTCAGCACTAAAACTGAATTTCCCAAATAAAGCTGACCATGTTAAGTCTTGTACTAAAGCAAAATGAGTCAAATAACTCTTCATAAGCCTCTACTTAATGTTATTACTATCTTACAATTTATTTGACTCATTCTCTTTGATGAAATGTATACTCTACCCAGACAAACTAACTATGGATCCAAATTTTCTAAATGCTGAAAGAGAGTATATATATATATGTATGTGTGTGTGTGTGGGGAGAGAGAAAGAGCGACTCTGTAGACATATATTTTTTAATATAATGTATTCTCTAAGAGTTTAATTTTATACCAGATAACTTGGAAAAGACATTATTGTTGTGAAGTTCAAGTTAGCACTAGTCAGCTGCTAAGCTCGTACTGCTGGTGGTTATTCTCAGTGACCACCTATAAGAGTGTTCACTTATGCCTATGCAAATTATGCATATTAATTTGCTAGTATCACTACATCTCCCTGAACCTTAAGGGCTTTATTCCTCTCATAGATCTTGTACTCCTTCTTCTGCTATTTTCATCACTCTGCTCTATTTCTCTCTCCCCATATTTCTTTCCCTGGGAGACCTTGATCTGTCCCGGTCTAGGCTGTAGTCATATGTGTTTTCTTGCATAATCTGGTCTTCGTCTGAACTTTCAGACTCCTTCTGGTCCTCTTCATCCTGCATTGTTTCCTCTGACATTTCCTTCTGTAATGGTTGTTCTACCAACTCATTATCAGATGGAATTGACATCTCTTCGTCATTTCGTTCTTCCTCTTCACCCTGGGTCCTTATTTGGTCAGCATGGGCCAACACACTATTGCCATTCTCTCTATTTATTATGGTTGTATTATGGCCTTTTTGCATTATAAACTCGGCTCCTTCCGGATTCGCATCCTTGCTCTTCTTGTACCACATCTTTTCACTTGTAGAGTATGACATAGTTAGCGAAGCTCTAATCTGTCTCCCCATTAAAGCTGATGGGCTTTCAAGTCTTCCCGCATATGGTATCGTCCGATAACTTAAAAGCAGCCTCGGTAGAAAAACTTCTACTTTTTCTTTTTGCTGAGAGCATGCTTTTAACCCTTTTTTTATGGTCTGAACCATTCTTTCTGCTAGTCCATTTGATTGAGGGTGATATGGAGGAGTTTTATGTGGTTTACACCCTATTTTTTCTAACCATATGTTAAGTTCTTCCTCACAAAATTCTGGTGCATTATCAGATACCAAGGTTTTTGGTACGCCATTTCTAGAGAATATGACTCTTAGAATTTGCTTTATAGTAGAACTTTTCTTGTTTGTAACCCGTATTATTTCAGGCCAACTAGAGAGTCTACTAATATTAATAAGAGTTCCACTCCATTAACGTATGCATGATCCATGTGGACCCGACTCCATGGCTCCACTTCTTTGGGCCATGAATGTAACTTGGTTTGTGTAAAGTTTCTTAATTCTTTATATTTTTTACACTTCTTTACATATTCCTCAACGTCTCTTGAATAACCCGGCCACCAAGCTTCTAGTTTTATCCTTTTTTGTGTGGCCGCTACTCCACAGTGTATATCATTATGTACACTTTCTATGATCGGTTTTCTTTGTGTTTCTGGGGGAACTACCAAGTCCCCATTGCAAATCATGTTCTATTGTTAATTTGTGCCTTATTTCTTTATAAGGTCTTTCCGCCCTAGAACAATTTCCCCACAAATTTTTCCTTATTCTCGATACTATCCTACTTAGCACTGGATCATGTCTCGTTTCCGCAGCCATTCTGTCTAAAGACAAAACATCAGTCTCTATCAAGTGTAGGAATGAATCTTCAAATTCTTCCTCTGTTTTCTCTTTTGACTCCTTGTAGAACCTCAACCTTGATAGTGCGTCCACTTGTGGAATTGAATTTCCTTTGACATACTCTATATCAAAGTCAAATGCCATCAATTTTATCGCCCATCATAGAATTCTTGATGTAGTGACTTTGGGCAATTCTTTCCTTGGGTTAAATATAAACTCTAATGGTCTATGATCACTTCTTAATAGAAATTTTTTTCCAATCAAAAATTGTCGGACTCTGGTAGTTGTCCACACAATTGCCAATGCTTCCTTCTCTATGTTCGAGTAATTGAATTCAGTGTTTGTTAATCTTCTCGACAAATACATTATCGGATGTCCTTCTTGTGATAATATTCCTGATATTGAATGTTCACTTGCATCTGTAGTGAGTGTTATGTCCTTTTTTGGATCAAAAATTTTCACTACAGGTTTCTTTGACATTATTTCTTTTAATGTTTCAAAAACTTTTTGCTGTTCACCTGAACAGATAAATTCTACATTCTTTTTTCTTAAATTTGCAAACGGTTCCATCTTTTGAAATGGAAAAACCTAAAAAAGATATTTTGTTGGAATTGCTTACGCATTTTTTTTCATTTATCGTCATTCCAGCATTTCTTAATCTACTCAAGACTAATTCAGTTTTCTATTTTATTTCCTTTTCATTAGTAGCTCCTATGCATATGTCGTCTTGGTAACAAACCATATTTTGTACATTTCCTAAAACCTGTTCAATGGCCCTTTGAAATATGGCGCTTGCGGTTTTTATTCCATATGGCATTCTCTTCCATCTTAGTAACCCTATTGGCGTATTTATTGTGGTTACTTCTTTGACGTTTTCGTCTATTGGTATTTGGTGGTATGCCGTTTTTAAATCTATTTTTGAAAGAAAAAACGGACATCCCTTCCAATGCATGTAATGCAAGTTCAACATTGGGTATGGGATATGAATCCAAGCATATCTTGTGATTTACTCCTATTTTATAATCTCCACAAATACATAAATCACCATCTGTTTTCCTCAAAACCACAATCGGTGATGCCCATTTGCTACCTCCAAGCGGAACATGTTCTAGAAGGTCTTGTTCTACTAGTTTACATAGTTTTGTCACTACTAACGGCAATAAATGTACTGGTAATTTTCGTGCCTCATAATAAGAGGAGGAAACATTTTCTTTTACTTTTAAACTTGCTTCATAGTTTTTTAACTTTCCAGTTTTTTCCATTTTTATTTCATTAATTAACTTAGTAGAATTCATGTTAAGCACGTCATTTCCAATAAGGCCATTGTTTTTCTTGCAACTTGTAACAATTACAGGAATTACTTCAAATTTTTCTTTTAACTCCAATGAACCTTTGAAGTATCCTAATATTCTTATAATGGATCCATCAAACTAGCGGAGTTGTAAATTGCTTTTTTGTAAAGGTGGCTTACCTATGTGCTCCCAAAAATTTTTTGGTATCAATGTTACTTCACTCCCAGTATCCATTTGCATATCTAAATTGCAGTTATTAATTTTATCCTTTACTATAACGTCTTTTTTCTTCTGTTCAAAAGTCTTATTTTTCATTGTAAAAACTTCTCTGCCGGTGTTGTTTTCTTCAACTCTTTCCACATTTTTCTTTTTTAATTTACACACTGCTTGAAAGTGGTTCTTTTTTAAACAATTATTACAAGTTTTCCCAAATGCTGGACACTTTTCCTTTTTCATTTTGTGTTCATGTCCACAATACAAACACTTTTTTATCTTGTTTAACGTGTATGTATCAGCGAATCTTTGTTCGCTCGGTTGACTTTTATAATGTCAGTATGTTTGTATTAGCTCTGGTTGCTGCATAAATTCAATACAAGCATTTAAAGACATATTTCCTATTTGTAACTGTTCCAATATTTTATAACGGTGTGACGCATTGGACATACCTTCAATTAGTCTTAATTGAATCAAGTCCTCTTCAATGGTCTGTTCGTCTTGTCCGAGTTTCTCAAATTCACAATATCTACTTGCATTTTGTAGACGGTGTAAATATTTTATAATTGGTTCATCAATTTCTTGTTTCGTCGACATGAATTTCGTTCTTTCTGCCACTACCAGCCTTTTCTTGGGTCTCAAATTTTTTTTTATAATCTTACTTATTTTTTTGAAAGTCAGGTCTTCCAAATTTAAGGGATATGCCATGGTGGAGACTTTCATTACCGCCTCAAGATTCAGCTGTAGCCAAAAAATAAATCCGTGATTTCATTTTTGCCTCCCTTTTCCTTGTTGTCTTTCAACTTTTTTGTTCTCACAGTGGCAGAGAAACAACGAATCCATGTATCCACAAAATCTGGATCTTCCAGAGACAATTGATATCCTATCGGCGACGCCATTGTTGTGAAGTTCAAGTTAGCACTAGTCAGCTGCTAAGCTCGTACTACTGGTGGTTATTCTCAGTGACCACTTATAAGAGTGTTCACTTATGCCTATGCAAATTATGCATACTAATTTGCTAGTATCACTACAATTATACTGCTGTTTTTTTAATTTGATTACAATGTTTAAGCCTGTATAAATATTCCAGCAAACTTTTTTAATTACCCCTAAATTACTTATGATGTATTTC